ATTGTCACCTCTTGCGAGAATTTCGGCCTCATCCAATTTGAATGTGTGGCCGAGTCACACATTCAAATTTGATGAGGCCGAAATTCACCGGTAAATACCAAGGAGCCTGAAATTTCCGGTTGTGCCTTATTAGCTATCTAACACAGCCTCGATCAATGATCAGAGCTGCGGAAATTTTATTTTTGTCAGGGTCTTCCTGATGGAATTAAACTTGTTAACTGCTTCTTTTTGCCTGCCAAACTTTATTTGACATTTTAATCAGGGATAGATCTTTAAATGCTCCCCAACTGTATAAGTCTATTATAGATATAACTACGGGAAACAAAACTCCAGAATTCTATAATATGGGACCAGTTTATATGGGAGTTATATGAGTGAGGCATTACTTGGACGTAGGAGAGAAAACAAAAGAAATATAGGAAAAAAACGGAATATGGAAGATAAAATTATTATCAAAAGCTAATATATAGCAAAGAATAATTGCGCAATAGTTAAAAACTAGATTAAAATAATCAATAATTAAGTTAATTAAATACATTAATGAAATAATAAATTAATAAATTACCTTTACCATCGGTCTCATATTACAGAATTTTAGAGTTTTGGTTTCCTTAGTGGTACCTATCATAGGTTTTTACGACTTTGTGTTTTCCACGGACGCCAAAAAATCTAATTTTTGGAAGTAGCCTTCGTGCTTTTTGACGGAAAGTTTTAGTGTTTCTTCTCTGCTTTAAGATTTCAAGGCCAACTGGAACAGAAGCACGAAGAAGGCATGGTTATGCAGGCCAAACGGGAAGAAATGGACCTGCAACTCCTGCAACTGCGAAAAACCTACAAGGAAAGCCAGCAGGAGTATGACAGGGAGTACAAGAAGATGTCGACACTGCGTGAAGAAGTCGACAATCTTTGTTTACGACTGTACTACCTCAATAATGCTCGTGATGAAGTGAAGAAGGACATTATTATCATGAAGCGAGCCGCAGAAAAGGCTGTCACGGATCTGACAAAGGTGCCGGTTCCTATTGGTTAGAATGCCCGACAAGCAATAATGCAAAAAACCTAGAGAGAACTGACACTTGTTGATGAACTTTCACCAATCGCTGACTGAACACACTCATCCTGCTCTGCTTTGCGTCTCGGTTTAAAGTCCTGTCAGCAGCCAAACAGTGGCTAGTAGTCTAGAAAAATAGTATTGCCAGAACTGCCGTTAGCGATCGGTGAACCCTCATCAACGTGTGTCGATGTCACCCGATCCAAACCGGCAAGACACCGAGCTCGTGGCTCAATAGTTAATTTTGGACTTCTGATCAAAAGGTCGCGTGTTCGATCTTCGGATGATGCATCAATTGGGGATGGGTATGGCTGGCTGATGACGGCTAATAAGCCAGAAATGGCCATTTCAGTCTTCCTTATCTTCGCCAGCAATACTATCTGCATAGAGAAAACTGTCGATATACTGTTGATTAAATACTCAGATTTTGTGTTGAGCGTTGTAATGGTAATAGAGACGAAAATTAGACTATTTTATTTTTGCCCTTGGAACCTGTCTAGGTAGAGGTGTTGTCATAAGTCGCAAGTAAGCCTTAACTATTTAATCAGGTCTTTAAGATGGCCATTAAATAACTTATGGCTTCTATCACATATTGCTTGAACAATCATTTCTGATGTAAGCTTTTCCAGAGGTCTCGGCTTCTTTAAAGTAACATCTGAATAAGAGCTAATAACTTGAGCTGAAGAATGCCGATGCTTTCGACTAATTTCATTATTCTAATGAAAAAGAAACAAACTGC